AAAAAAAATAAAATAAATATTTATTATAATATAATTCTAGGCAAAAAAAATTGTTTTGAAAAGGCCAAAAATATCAATATTAAGAAAACGTTTAATATAATCAAGGCCTCGAGGAGCATTTATTATTCCATTTAAAAAAAATTTTTCAACTAAATATAAAATTACATTTCGAGGTTAAAAATTATTATTATTATTATTATTATAAATAAGTTAAAGAGGATTTTATCATTTGATGGTGGTACGATAGCCTAAATATTATTATTATTATTATTGACCAATTTTAAAAAAAAAATTTTTATTTATTTTTATTAAAAAATTATTTCTCAATAATTGATTGTCATTAGAAAATATTAAAATAAATTTTTTTTTTGATAAATAAATTTATTATTATTATTATTATTATTATTATTATTATTATTATTATTATTATTATTATTATAGTTTAAAAAAGGTATGAATTATCAAAATATTACCAACGTACATTAAATTAACTTTCACTCATACAAAAATTAATCTTTGGTCGTTACAGGTGACACAAGTACTAATAAGTTAAAAATGATTTTATAAACTCATTTACAAAAATATTTTTTTGTTATAAATTATTTAGTTTTTTTTTTTAACGTAATAATAATAATAATAATATTAGCCTAATAGATATTAAATATAAAAATAAATTATCAAATAATTACCTAATGTTTTAAAAAAAATTTGTCAGGTTATAAAATGACGAATTATGAAAAAGTTGACATAATAATTTTGAGGTCGATAAAAAAAAAAAAAAAAAAAAAAAAAGTTTTCTAGCTTATTTGTTTTCTACTGTATCATCATCATCATCATCGTTTCCTTTCTTCGTCACATTATGAAGGTCTTACGTCTGTTAAAAAAAAAAAAAAAAAAAATTATTTTAAATTATTTTCAACACTTTTCCCGTTTAAACTCATCAAAAGAGTTTAATATTTATAAAAATATTAGAAATTTTCAAAAAAAAAAAAAATTTGTTTCTATTTGAAAAAAAATGTTGTAAAATAAAAAAAAAAATTAATTTTACACAAAATAAAAGTTATTATTTCCATTGAATGTCGTTTTTATTTACTCAAGCAATCATTGTTCTGTCGGTTATTATCTTCCTTTTGTCAAAAATTAAATACGATTCATTTGGTGTTTAGTCGCCAAACGTATGTCGTCCGAAATCTAACAACGGCCTTTTATGAAATTTAAAAAATTTTTTTTTGATACGTACTCATCAATAGGTAGTTAATAATAATAATAAGAAAAAACCGTCGCGGTTGTTGTTGTTGTTGTTGTTGTTGTTCAGCCTGTAAAAGAAAAATCAAAACGGTTATATAAAATTATATTAAATTGTGTCAAAGTAAACTGTCTACGAGTGTGTGTAAAAGTAATTTGTTTTTCAATTTCAGAAAAATTCAAAGAATAAAATTATGGATTGAATCGTTTCGAATTCGATCGTGATCACTTTTTATTTGAATTACCAAAAAAATGAAGGCTCACATATATTTCGATGCCGTTGACTATTCAGTCTTCGGTTTAATGTTATTATTATCATCATTAATCGGTATATATTTTGCATTTTTTGCAAAACAAAAGCAAAACACAACGTCGGAGTATCTCATGGGTAGCAAAAAAATGGGAGTTTTTCCAATATCGATGTCACTTATAGCAAGGCATGTTTATTTATGATGATTACGTCGCGTTGAAAATCCTGTAAAATATAAATAAATTCGTTACTTTTACAGTTACATATCAGGTATAGCTCTCATAGGAATGCCAGCGGAAATATATACATACGGTACACAATTTTGGGTTTTGATCATACCTGAATTGTTGACAAGTATTTGCATGATGGTGGTGTACATTCCCGTTTTTTATTCCCTCCAAATTGTTTCTTCATACGAATACCTAAAAATACGTTTCAATAAAACAGTCAGGACTTTAGGTTCCGCTTTATTTCTCATAAAAATGGTTAGAGGACGTTAAAATTTTTTTTGCTCCTTTTTTTTTTGCTCTTTTTTTGCTCCTTTTTTTTGCTTTTCATCATGGCAAAATATTACATTTCAGATGCTTTATATTCCGATTGTTATTTACGTGCCAGCTTTGGCTTTTTCACAAGTCAGTGGTTTTAGTCTTTACATAATCGTACCGATTATATGCATCGTTTGCATTTTTTACACAACTCTGGTAAAAATTAAATTTTTAATTAATATAAAATTTAAATTTAAATATATTATTTAAAATAATTAAATTAAATTAAATTCGCAGGGTGGAATAAAAGCCGTAGTTTGGACGGATACTCTTCAAATGATATTAATGATATTTGGTGTGTTAACGGTTGCCATCATGGGTACGAGAGAGGTCGGAGGTGTAAATAATGTTTGGAAGAGAAACGAAGAAAGCGGAAGAATTGATTTTTTCAAGTAAAACTTAATTTGATTTCGTCACATTAAAGAAATTTTAAAATAAATTGTAATTTAATGATAATTACGCAGCATGAGTCTCGATCCTCGAATACGTCACACCTTTTGGAATATATTTATTGGAAAATTTTTTCATCATCTCGCTTCTTGCACGGTGAATCAAGCGATGGTACAAAGATGTTTAGCAATGCCAACACTAAATCGAGCTAGAATGTGAGTTTTTTTTTAACATTTTCGAAGCGGTTTTCCCCCTTTACAAAAAATTAACCTGAAAAAGAAAAGTTTAGATTTTAACACGATTAGAGAAACGGAAAAAAAAAAAAAAAAAAACTTTTAGGTGTACGCACCACACTTCATTCCATTTTTTTTTTTTATTTCCATGTGACGACGTTCGTTTTAAGATGTATTAACGTAAATGTTTCTCATCATTAGAACAATTGGAATATTTTCAATTGGAATTGCTACTTTGGTCAGTCTGTCTTGCTATACAGGTATGGTTATATTTGCCGCATTTTACGATTGCGATCCTGTAAAAGGAAAAGTTATAACAAAATCAGATCAAATATTGCCGTATTTCGTTATGAAAATCACAAGCCATATACCAGCACTTCCTGGAATTTTCGTTTCTGGAGTTTTTAGTGCTGCTTTGAGGTAAACATTATCATTCAGCATTTTTCCTTTCCTTATACTTTATTTAAAATTTTTTTCGATTTCCAGTACAATGTCTACGGGATTAAATTCAATGACTGGAGTTATCCTACAGGATTTCATACGTCCTTTACGTAAAAAACCAATATCTGAAGCATCGGCTGCTTTATACATGAAAATAATCGTTCTGATTATTGGTGTTGGCCTATTGATTTTGGCTTTTGTAGTAGATCGTCTTGGTGGTATAATACAAGTAAGTTGGTCCAATATGAAAAAAATTTCTAGAATTTTAGTTTCTATCCTTTTCGTTAAAGAAATTTTAAATGGCTAAAAAAAAAATATTTCAAGTTAATAATTTTAATTTATTTTTAGACTTCCGGGAGTTTAAGTGGAATCACGGCGGGAACTCTTTTAGGAATATTTACCTTAGGTATGCTTTTCCCTTGGGCTAATTCTACAGGAGCTTTAGTTGGTGGAACAACAAGTGCTATTTTCATTGGTTGGATGTCTGTTGGAACTCAAATTGCTGTTAAGAAAAAACAAATTAGATTTCCTGAAAAACCAATTAGTATGAAAGGTTGTGACAATGAAACTTTGTACAATTATCAAAAATATTTAAACGAAAGTATTAAACTTAATGCAAATGATCCGTGAGTAAAATTTTACCTTGTATATTTCAGAGACATAAACTTTTCAATTAAAGATTAAAAATTTTTTGTTACAGGGGAGATCCATTTCCGCTTTATACCGTTTCCTACATATATTATGCATTTTTGGGTACCATCTGCGCCATTGTTGTAGGCTTAATTGTAAGTTTTTTAACTGGTCCAAATGATCCACAATCTATGGATCCAAGATTATTTTCTCCCGTTATTCATAAATATATAAAAAAGAAAAAACAAGTCGAAGCGGATGTTAAATTATTGGATAATTCTAAAAAATAAAAAATAAATTTAATTAATTTTTTTTATAAAATAAATATTTTTTCAATACGTCCTCTTAACTCCTTTGAAATATCATAAAATTATTTTATTTGTCTTTATTAAAAATTCATCATTAAACTGTAACATTCTTCATTAAATACTTTTTTTTTCTTTTAAAAAAGAAGCATTTGAATCGTTAAAATAATGCATTTTAACGAATTTAGAGATTTTTTTCTAGAAAGTTTCCATGGCCGATTTCATTTCGAAAAATTAAAATGTAACGAAACCTAATTATTGGTCACTACAAGTAAAATTAGTTTTAATATGAGTCAAAAATTGTAGATTTATTTCTTACTTACGAGTTAATTCTTTTAAAAACGTTTTAAAATTTAAGTGTTCCTTTTTTTTTTTTAATTTTTTTGAATATAATAAAGTAGTTTACGCTTCAAAATAAAATTTTTTTTTTAACTCTGTGCTTTAACCGTTGATTTAATTGCAGGCGTGCCAACCCTCTCGAATAAATCAATTCAATGCGTTCTCTCTGACGCTTGAATCATAAACTTTATTCGAATAGAGGTTAAGTTAAAATTTGTGTTATTATTAAATATATATCAAGCATATTATAAATTTTAATAATATGCCGAGATAATTTTATAAATACATCGAAATAAACCTTAAAATTTTTTTTTTACAGTTTACAAATATTTTGTAACTATGAATACAACTACTACAGTAAGTTGGGCTGAATCTGCAAACGAGCAAGAAAAACTTTTAAACAAGGTAATTATTATTATTACCATGTAAGGTGTTTTATCGTAATTATAAGTATTTCAAAATTATTAAAAACGATCTTCAAAAAAACGTTAATCTTTTTATAAATAAATAATTTAAATAGATAAAAAGTAACGTGATGACAAATTTTAACCTTTTCATTATGATGAAAGAGTAGAATGTAATATAATTTTTTTTTTAATTCACTTATTCATAAAATTAATTATTATTTAACTTAATTTAAAACGTTTTTTGAATTTGAAATTTCAAAAAAATAATGATCAAGTCGTGAATATCACAATCTTGTGCAATTTTAACTTCAGATTTCTAACGTTGCGCTCAAAGATCAAACCAGTAATGATGCAAAAGAAAATAAAGAGAATTCGAATAAAGTACCTGAAGAAGAATCTCCTGATGTAATATCTGCTGCTGAAAAATCATTTTTGCAAAAAATAATTAGAAAAGGATTGGTAGAGAATAAAAATGATATAGAGGTACAGAGGAAGGATCCAAACTCTCCATTGTATTCTGTTAAATCGTTTGAAGAATTACATTTAAAGCCTGAATTGCTTAAAGGCTTGTACACAATGGGTTTTAATACGCCTTCAAAGATACAGGTACGAAGAAAATCAATTTTAAATACATCATGAAGTCATATTGTAAATATTTAAACTGTTAAATCGTTTCAAATGAATGTTAAATTTCGAATTGAGTTCTTTAACTGATTTTTCTTTCTTTTTTTTTTTTTATTATTATACAGGAAACAACATTACCATCTCTTTTGGCAGATCCTCCAATTAATTTAATAGCTCAATCTCAAAGTGGTACTGGAAAAACGGCAGCATTTACATTGGCAATGTTAAGCAGAGTAGATGCGACTAAAAATTACCCTCAAGTACTTTGTCTGAGTCCGACATATGAGTTAGCCATTCAAACAGGTCAAGTCGCTTCAAAAATGGGAGCATTTTGTCCAGATATATTGATAAGATATGCAGTTAGAGGAGAAGAAGGTAAACATTCATTTTACATTCATTAATGTTGTATGATTTAAAGTAACAATCATTTTTTTTTTTCACTTATCAGTTCCTAGGGGTACTAAATTAAAAGAACACATTATTATCGGAACACCTGGTAAAGTTTTGGATTGGGGATTAAAATATAAATTTTTCGACATGTCCAAAATCAAAGTGTTTGTCCTAGACGAAGCCGACCTCATGATTTCTACTCAAGGTCATCAAGATCAAGTACTCAGGATAAGAAAGTAAATTTAAAAATTTTTTTAAAGATGGATCCCTTATTATTATAAAACTTAAATTATTTTGAAATTTATACGAAATTTCAAATTTTTTAGATTTTTGGGAGAAAAATGTCAAATGATGTTGTTTTCAGCGACTTACGAACAGGAAGTTGTTGAATTTGCCGAAGGAATATTTTTAAATCCAATGATTTTAAGTTTGAAAAGGGAAGAAGAAAGTTTAGATAATATAAAACAATATTATGTTATGTGTAATAGCGAAAAGGATAAATATCAAGCTATAATTAACATATACGGAGTTGTTACCATAGGGCAAGCGATGATATTTTGTCAGGTTAATATTTTTGCGAATTTTTTGAATAACATAATTCTAGCGAAACATTTTTTAAAACTTTACTTTTATAAAAAGTTTTAAACTTACCACATATTTTGATTTTGCAGACTAGAAAAACGGCGAGTTGGTTAGCCGAACATATGTCCAAGGATGGTCATGCTGTTGCCATGCTGTCGGGTGAATTAACTGTTGAACAAAGAATAGCCGTATTAAATAGGTTTAGAGATGGAAAAGAAAAGGTTCTCATAACGACAAACGTTTTATCAAGAGGTGTATATTTTAATGTTTTTTTTTTTTTTTTAAATTTCTTTTTTTACGTTTCTTTAAATCATTCTTTTCGTTATTATTATTATTATTATTTGTAGGTATTGATATCGAACAAGTTACGATCGTCGTTAATTTCGATTTGCCGAGAGATCCCAACGGGAAACCAGATTACGAAACTTATTTGCATCGAATCGGTCGTACGGGAAGATTTGGAAAAGCCGGATTAGCAATTAATTTGATACAGGATCAAAGCGACATGGAAGTATTAAAATCAATCGAAAATCATTTTCAAAAAAAAATTACTTTACTCGATACGGAAGATGCAGACGAAATAGAAAAATTACAAGATTGAATTATTATTATTATTATTATTATTTATTTTTTTAATTTTTGTTTTCCTTAATGACATTTCCTTTAAATCCATTTCGAATTATTTTGAATTCATAAAAATTTCAAAACATTTCGAAATAATTCCCAACACAAACTATCTATACGAAGTTAATAAATAAATAAATAAATTGTACATAAAAAAAATAAATAAATAACTCGATTATTTTAAAATATAAAAGAGAAGTTTACGAAGTACATTTTTAATAAAATGTTTTATTTAATTGAATTAAAAAGACCTCCTTACTACCACGACGCGATATATATATATATTCATGCAGTTACATGTTTTGATTAATAATAATAATAGGACGTTTTTAAACGTTTGAATTTTGTCTTTTTTTACAAAAACCTGATTCAACAGTTACAGTTTTTTTTAATAATCATCACGAGTTTTAGCAAGTTATTAAAATAAATAAATTTTTTTTTTTTTTTTTAAATTAGTTTGATTTATAAGAAAAGAAAATTATATTGCTGAGGTAAGTTAATATTACATTTCAACCAATTTTTTTTTTTTTTTGTAATTTCCATTGTGCGTGTGTGTGTGTCTATTTTATTGAGGCATGCTTTTTTTTTTTTACAATTGTAATTTTATCATAGTTATTGCAAAAAAAAAAAAATTATTAAGTATTGCTTTAATTAAATTAAAAATTATGATTTTTTTAATAAAAATTTATCGATAATCGATAATTGAAAATTTTTCTACTGTTAAGTTTTTATCATAATTTCAAGTATACTAAATTTTAAATTTTTTTTTTTTATCATCGAAAAATCCTGTGGGAAAATCATAAATAATTAAATAAAATATAAATAATCGAATTTAAATTTATAAAAAAAATGTACTTGCATGACGTTAGTACGTTATTATAATTAAATTATTATCATTATTTTGATTACGTGACATTAATTGTATGATATTAAAGTTAAAAAAAAAATTATTAAATTAAATTAAAGTCCAGTTTTTAAATTATTATTATTATTATTTTTTAAAATAATTTTGTGTGATGAATAAACGTAGTAACAAAGGGGTAAAAATTTATTTTATTTTTTATTTTATTGAAAGTAATGTAATTATTTAGGGGATGATTTTATTTATTTTTTTTTTCAAATTTTATTTAATTCTTTAATGAAATAGTTTAAATAATAAAAATTTCAAAAGTTTTTTTTGTAGAGAATTATTTTGTTTTTTTTTTTAATCTTTCTAATCACGTTCACAATTGCCTTGTATTATTATTATTATTATTATTTTATTAGATACTATTATGGTAAATGTAAATTTTTAATTTAAAGGTCGATTACCCATAAAAAAGTAAAAACTACAGCCAAATATTCAATTTTTTTTTGTTTATGATGTTATGTAAAGTTTTGGACATGTAAATGACCTTCTCAATTATTATACATAAGTTGAAAGAAAAGTTTAATAATTTGTCATTATAAATTTTGTAACAAGTTATTTATTTATATAAATTTAATTAAAAATTTTCCGCATGATATTTTTTTAATGACTGGACAAAATGTCTGATGTAGAATGAGTGAAGAAAAAAATTTTGGTTTTTTTTTTGGACGTATCGATTAGATTTTTATTTAAAATTTTAGATTTTAATAAATTTTAACTTTGAGCCTTGGTATTTACAATAAAAAATAAAAAAAATTTTTTTCTTTTACCACATAATAATTTGTCACAAGGTTTTTTTTTGCAAGGCTTTTTATATAGTAAGTGTGCACAGGCTTGATAAATTACCTAATTAAATTCTTCACAACTAGCTAATTGTTTATGACACAAAATTTTTTTTTTTTTTGTGTCCAAATGAATAACAAAACATGAACTAAATAAACTCAAACGATTTATTATTACATAAGATACCTGTTTAACAAAAACAATATAAGGTACCTAGCATAAGCATAATGCCTAAGTTTTGTGTAAATAAAACATATATAAAAGATGGAATCTTGTTGGATTTTATTATGATAAAAATATTTTTAAAAATAAATAATTACTACTGCAGCTTTGTGTAAAAAGTAAATGTAAATTTTATATTCTATATGCATGAATAACAAAAGAAGGCTGAACAACAAGTACAAGGTTAATATATATCATTGGGTCAATAATATAAAAATTTTTTACCTGCCGCCATGTTTTCATCATTTCCTTAAAAATGTAAATTTGTAATTTCCAAAGTTATGTTTCGCGGAAATGAATTTGTCGATATTATTTCAATAATTTTATCATAACTTTATAACCGATAGTTTCTATAAACTATTTTTCATATTTCAAAAGCATTTCTCACTAATTATTTAATTAAAATTAAACTGAATTCACAAACGGGAATTATTATTAACCACATTCCGAAAATGAGAGAGAAACCGTTTTATCGTTTCAAAACAAAAGTTTTGGCGGTTTATCTTATCTAATCCCACGACGAAAATAATTCCGTGTTTGAAGTTAATCAAAGTTTAATTTAAAGGCAGTAATAGTAGTAGTAGTAGTAGCAGTTTTATTTTTGTTATGTTAAAAGGAAAAAAAACTATTTTGAGTTATTTTTGAAATAGTTTCGTTAAAACCTTGTTAGTTAGCGTACCAATTAGATATATATATTACTTTATTCTTTTAAATGAAAAAATATGAGTAATAATTCGACTGAGGATGTTCAAAATCATGAAGAAAAGGTGAGAATTGTTATCAATTTACTTTTAATACAATTTATTCATTTTGTGAATAAGTATTTACGTTATAAAAAAGAAAATTATATAGTTTTTTAAAAAATGTATTACAATTGTTTATTTCAATTTTTATAAATTACTTGCTTTATGGTTTTTGAGCAAGTTCAAAACCATTTAAAAAAAGTGTATATAATAATAGTGTGAATGTTCATGGTATTGAAATCTCTGAATATTTGATTAACTACTGTTTCAAATTGAAATTTGATATATATTTGTTTGAAATTTCTAACAATCTAAGTATTACTTACTCCTGATAATACTTATCGCTAACATTTATTTCCCAAATTAATTTTCTATATCTTATTGAAATATTTTTCGATAAGTTTACCATTATCTCAGAAAATTTTTTTTTTCATAGCCTTTTAAATATTAGAATATGATTGGTAAACAATTGTCGAGAAAATTATTCATTAATAAAAAGAAATTAATTTAATAAATATTAATGTACTTAAAGATTTCCGAATTTGGAGAAGAAACTCCTCTATTGGTCAAAATGGATGATAACGACATGAAGAAATCAAGCGTTGAAGTTTTAGTTAGCAATGATTCTGGTAAAAAATTTCCTCAATATTTGGCAGCAGTCAGTTGTAAGTAAATTTCAATGGTTTAGGCTGTAAGTATCAAAGTATGAGATCATTATTATTTTAAATTATTATTTAGCAACCCTTGGAGCATTTGCACTCGGCACTACACTGGCTTGGACATCTCCCGTATCATCCTCTGAAAATAATTATATCAATGACATAATGAAAGATTTTACTCCGGAACAAATTCATAAAGCATGGTCTTGGGTGGGAGCTTTGATGCCTTTAGGTGCTGCCATCATTTCGACCATGATCGGATGGCTGTTGGGAAAATTGGGGAGGAAAGGCACAATGCTTACACTTGTGATTCCATTTACAATAGGATGGGCACTGATTATTAAACCTTGTGGTGTATGTATTACACATTTTATCCTTTTCAATTATGAATTCCATTTTTAAAATTTTGTGATTATGTTTCAGATATGGATGGTTTATTTGGGAAGATTAATATTAGGAATGTCTGGAGGTGCTTTCGCAGTGGCAGCACCAGTTTACACAGCAGAAATAGCTGAAAAAGAAATAAGAGGAGCCTTGGGAAGTTATTTTCAATTAATGGTTACATTGGGAATATTGTTTGTGTACATAATAGGTGGCAAAGTGACAGCTCAAGTTTTATCAATCATTTGCGGTGTCATTCCTTTAATTTTTGCTCTCATATTTTTTTTCATGCCTGAATCTCCAGAATATTTACTGTCAAAAGTATGATTCCTTTAATTATTATTAAATTTCCACAACTTTTAACAGTTGATTCCTTGATTAAAATTTCCGTTTTTTTTTTTTTTGCAGAATCAAGAAAACGCAGCGAGAAAATCTTTACAATTTTTCCGTGGGAAAAATTATCCCGTAGAAGTAGAACTAAATGAAATTCAATCGCATTTGGATAAATTCAAAATGGAAAAACAATCCCTCATCCAGAGTTTTTCGACGAAAGCGGCTAAAATGTCTTTGTTCATTTCATTGGGTTTAATGTTTATACAACAATTGAGCGGAGTTAACGCCGTTATTTTTTACACCGGCGACATTTTTAAAGTAATCCTTTCCTAGAATAATGCCAATAATAATAATAATAATTGATGTTTTCAAATCAACGAGCATTAACTCTTTTATCATTTTTATTTTCAGGCTGCCAATGCAGATTCGGATTCGAACACTTCATCAATCATTGTCGGAGTCGTACAAGTCGTTTCAACATTTATTTCCACTCTCATAGTTGACCGTTTGGGACGAAGGAAACTTTTACTCGTATCCGCGTCCGCCATGTCAGTTTGCACGTTATTGCTCGGAGTTTTCTTTTTTCTCAAAGATAGCAATCAAAACGTGGATTCGATATCATGGGTCCCTTTGGTTAGTTTGTGCGTTTTCATGGTTGCTTTTTCCATCGGTTTCGGTCCGATTCCGTGGATGATACTCGGAGAATTATTTTCACCGTCTATAAAAAGCACGGCGAGTTCGATCGCGAGTTGTTTCAATTGGATCCTCGCATTTCTAGTCACAAAATTTTACGCTCCCATAAGTAAAGAAGCCGGTACGGGTGTCACGTTTTTCATATTCATGTCCATTTTGATAAACGGTGCCATATTCGTATCGTATTTCGTTAAAGAAACCAAAGGTAAAAGTCAAGAAGAAATTCAAAGAGAACTTGAAGGTTAAACACAAAAAACGCGTTCAATTAGTTATTTTTAAATTGATATAACATATATGTTTATCGATTATGTTAATTGCCATTGAAAAAATTATTATTATTATTATTATTATTGTAAACGTTGCAAGAATTTTATATATACGTATATATATAAATAATTTTTAACGGAAAAAAAAAATCGTTATTTTAAAAAAAAAATTTTTTTAGCATAATATTTTTATTTATTTATTTATTTAAACCTATTTATTTATTATTATCGAATTATTTATTTTTATATTAAAATGTAGGTTTAAAAATAAAAGTTTTTATATATAATAAATAAAGTTATTTAAAACAAAACATTTGATTTTATTTATTTATTTATTTATAATAATATCAATCAATGACAATTAATTAACAAAAAAAAAAAAATGGCTACCCACGATTCGTTTCGCGGGTTATCATCTTAAACACTTTAATCACGATATAAAAACTAAAACTATTCACCGGAATTTTTATTTTTTGTCCTTTTCTAACACTTTACGCACTTAATCATATTAAAATATCATTTAAAAAATATTTCAAAAAGGTAAATAATAAATGAATTATTTGATTATTCTTACCTGTTTTTTATTCGTATTCAAAATGATCATCGCTATCACTTTCCGATCTGTCATAATTATATATTTCAATAACGTTTGTTGCCAACCTAAAAAATTTTAGAAACAAAATTTCCCGGGTCGTTGTTTCAAAACTTTTTCGAAACAATAATGTAAACAATTTTTTAATGTGAAATATACTCACTCGGGTTTGTATTGATACGTGTTTAAACTTTCCAATATATTTTCTTTGAAATTAATTTTTTGTTTTTTTAATCCAAATGAAACGAAATTAATGCAACCACTCAAACCGTAATTATTCATAAACCATAATCTATCTTCATAGGGTAGAAAATTTGACGGTGCTCCTCCTTAAAAATTATAAAAAAAATTAATTAGTTTTTTAATATAATTTATATAAATTTTTTAAAAATAAATAATTTAGATACCTAAATAAATATCACCGACGACACGATTCGTTGTAAATTTTGTATAATTTGTATAAGTTATCGAATCCACGTGTAAAACGACGGATTCGTTTGTTCTTTTTGCTATCAACGTGTGATTTTTATCAAACGATAATCTTTCCCTTGTTTGAACTTGAAGTTTTATTCCTTGATTTTTATAAGTGTATTCTACTTTTCCATCGATCACTGACAAAAAAAAAAAAAAAAAAATTTTTCTCACATAAATTTATTTTGTATTTAAAATCAAAAAAAAAAAAAAAAATTTGTTAAAATATTTTAAATTACATCCAATTAGTAAATAATTGTGCACGTTTCCACGCCATAATAAAAGTCCGTTTGATTTTGTTGTTGTGAAATGTATTTCAATCGTTTCCGGTTCCGCCAATGAAAATCTGTATAAATATTTTGATGGAAGTTTTACGTAACCGTCACCTCCGACGCAAAACGATGATTGTTCCTCTGTAAAAAAAATTATTTATTTTAGCGAACCTGAAAAAATTTTTTTATTAAATTACTGTTAAATTGTACCTTTTTCACAAGTTAAACCTGAATAACCGAGACTGCAACTACATGATAAACTAGAAATTTTATTTGAACAAAAATTTAAATCTTTTCTTTTACACGGTGATAACATGTTACAAAGATCACGTTGACTGTTACATCCTCTTCCGTAGCAACTGGGCGGACACGAATCTTTCTGAATTTAAAAAAAAAAAATTAATAAATAAAAAAAATTGTGGGGAGAAAAAAAAATACGACGGCCATTATACTTACTTCACCTCTTTGTGCTTCCGGACATAAACAAACAAAACCCAATTGAGTGGGTGCGTCCAAACATTTTCCAATATTACGACACGGATTTAAACGTTCGGAACATTTTCCGCATAAATTAACATTCGTTGAATAACTTCCTTCTTTAATCAAACTAAAAACTTTATCATCAATTACCAATCTACTTATGCAACCGTCCAACGATGGTATTTCTGTAAAAAATTAAAAAAAATTTTTTTATTAAAGAAAAAGAAAAAGAAAAAATTTATTTATAATAAAAAAATTTCTACTTTTAATATGTAAATGATGTAAATGTGATTTTTTAGAATTGGAAAATGTCGTTCCACCACCGACGTAAAAATTATTAAATAAACTCGTATAAATAACATCTCTGAAATTATTAAAATGTTCTATTTTTTCTTCCAATACCGCAGAATTCGAATCGTAAATAATTAATTTAACTGTAAAAAAAAAAAAAAAAAAAAATAGAAAAAATTAAATTGATCCATTGTTTTGATGGCGAAAATTGTTTTACGACAAAAAAAAATTGGTTTTGTACCTGTTTTTAACGTCATTTCAACCATAATCGTATACCAAACGTTATGATTAAGATTAATCGTCGAATTAAAATGATGTCTTTTTTCATAATCCAGGTGCAACAAAATGGAAACCTTTTTATCGTGAATGTATAAGACAAATACATCGTTTTCATCTTTGAAAAGTAAACCTGAAATACAAAAAAAAAAAAAAAATTACATACATGTAAATTTATTTTAATTCTGTTTACTATATAAAATTACCATCATTTTTTTTCGTTTCGAACGATATTTCATAAACGATTTTTTTTTTCGACGATAACGTTGTCGGTAAAACCAAAAAACTATTTAATTCTTGCGTGAATTTAGGTACGAAACCATCGACGATCAAACTGAAAACTTTTTTAAACCGCGGATTTGATCGCATTTACACACGTACGATGCATTATGTTGAATTTGAACGAAGGAATCATTAAACCCCCGTAAAAATTTAAAAAAAAATATAAATTAATTTTAAATAATATTAAATTAAAATAAATAATGACAATTTTTTTTTTATATAAAATATATAATATATAATTACTGGAATTTCGCATTCGTCTCCAGATAATTTACCATTCAATTTTTCCCATTTAAGTTTTCCATCGCAACCGTTACAAAGTAATTCGTGATATGAACCGAGTGTCACAAATTGTGCATCTAAATAAAATATTATTATTATTATTTAATAATTTTATCTTACCGATTTATATATATATAATTAATCTTCGATTTGAAATTTTAAATAATTATAAATATTAATAACCTCTTTCTTCGGCAACCTAAAAAAAAAAAAAAAAAGAAATTAAATACCGTGTGAAATATTTAAAATGAAACCGTTAATAATAATTATTATTATTATTTTACTTACCAATTCCCGCAAAACCGTTACCGACACTTCTTTTTCAGATTCTCCTGCTTCATTTTTAGCAACGCATATTAAACCAATCAAATCGGAAAATGCTTTTAATTTAACCGTTATTTCCGGTGGATTTAAATACATGTTTGCCAAAACGTCGTTGTCCCTAAAATTTAATCACGATTATAAAAGAAAATACGAGGGTGAAAGTTTTTATTTAAAAAAAAAGGTACACGAACTTGATATTTCTTTTATAACTTTTCAATTGATTTTTCCACATTAATTTCGGGAGTGGATTTCCAATGGCGGAACACCTAACGCTTATTTCTTCATTTTCATAAACTTCAATATGAGTTTCCGACAGTGTTATTTCCGGTACGAACATGACGTTGATTTCGGAAAATGCTTCATCTCGTCCAACCGAATTTTGACCTTTGCACTGATATATTCCACCATCGTAACGTGAAATGTTTAAAAATCTTACGAGAAAAAAATTATAATTAATTTTATATACCTAAAAGAGTAAATAATAATAATAATAAAAACTTACTCTAATTTTTCACCGTCTTTATATTTTTTAAATTCTCCATTAATTTCTTTGAGCCAATATAATGTCGGTTTGGGTTTACCCTCTAATACCACGCATTCTAAAAATGCTCGCTCACCTTCGATGGGTATGAGTGAAGAAGGTACGATTTTTAATTTAGGTGGAATTTTCGTTTCTTTTACTTCTACAAAAACTCGTCCGACATCTTCACCCGCAGTTGTGTTTGCTTCGCATTGATAAATCCCACTATTTCCGAGAGTCGCACCTTTTATTTTTAATATTCCATTATTTATTTTAACATTATTATCGATTTTACCGGAAATTTTCATCCATGTAACCGATGGAGCCGGTTTTCCAGTTGCCGAACATTTAACTTCAAAATCACCGTCTTCCAATATGATAGTATCATTTTTATCAATGCTGATAACGGGAGGCGTTAATTTTTCTTTAACGTTAACCCATGCTGATTGTTCAATGCGTCTTCCATCGGATGAAAGAGCCTTACAAGTATAATTACCGGAATCGTCAATTTTTGAATTTGTTATATTTAAATTGCCATTTTTTTCAAAAGTTCTAAAAAAAGGCAAAATTTTGTTGGGACGCGACCAACTAACCGAACTGTTGGCAGTTGTCTTACATTGTAAAATGATATCATCTCCTTCTTCTACCTCTTGCCATTTTGGTATAATGTGAACCAAGTCACAATTTTCTGAAAAATAAGCGAGGGGAATTTTTTAATAATGATAATTTTTTTTAAATAAAATCTTTATAATTAATGTAATATATACGATCCGTACTTACTCTCAACAATTAAAAGAACAGAACAGACATCTTTATCTCCTATCGAATTTTCTGCTTCACACGTATAAATTGTTCCGTTATCTTGCAAAGTAACGGCTTCGATTGAATAAACACCACCTGTAGATTCAACTTTTTGACGAGTACCATTTTCTTTTTTGGCAAACCATGTTGTTATTGGTTGCGGATAACCAGTTACTTGACAAATAAAATCTTTACTCTTGGTTTCTTTGACGTGTGTCACGGTCGAATAGCAATTTGTAATTTTAACAGGTTGAAAAGTTGCTAATAAAAATGATTACGAACGATTAGTATTAAAAAATGAAGTAAAGTTTTTACTAGAACTTTCTCCATTTCGCAAACTGTTAGTATTTACCAGTATTTTCAACGATCGCCAACACTTTACCAACTTCCATTCCTTTCACATTATGCACCAAACATTCTACTTGTATCAAATCTTCACTGAATTCTACGTTAAAATTAATGAATCCATTATAGTCGTTTGTTTTTTGATTTGATGAAAGTAAAGTTCCTAGAAAAGGTCCCTCAGTTCTATCCAAGAAAATTTTCTTGTAAGAAATTTTCATTTTTTCTCCGCTATCATAAGAACAATTAAATGATACCGAACCACCACCCACATCACTAGTTATTTTATTGGGAGAAATTTTTACAGTTAGGTGAGTTGAATTTTGTGCTGTAAATTTTTAAAAATTAATTAAATTTATCAACTTTTCCTTTTTTTTTTTTTTTTTTTCAAAGAAAATATTCATGGTGTGAAAACTCACACGAAACAACTTCATTTTCACATTGTAATCCTGTAAAACCGGGTTTACAAATACAGTAGGTATTGTTGTAATCATCCTTTCCACATTTTTCTTCTCTATTATTGCATTCGCAAGGTTTACAAATGGGTTTCTTTTCTTTTTTCGAATTCTCTTGATAAAAACCTTTTGGACAACTCTGAAAAAAAAAAATTTAATGTATTTTTCGTCGTCTGCGAATTGAATAAGGTTAAAAATTTTTATTTTACCAAACAGCCTTCCACGGGATCACAATTATCACATTCGCATTTAAGACATAAATTTGTATTTTTCTTTTTATAGTAACCCTGTGCACAATTTTCGCAACTTAATCCAGAGTAACCCGGGGGACAAAAACATTGCTCGACGTCAGAAGCCAATTCGGAACCTTTAAAAATTAAATTTTATTCAATTTTAATTTTTTCGTTAAAATTAAATTTAATTTTATAATTAATCGTTAGGATTTTTCTTTACCTGTACCTAAAAGTTGCGCATCGCTCATTCTGACCCAAGTCAAATTAACTTTACCGGATGATATATGATAAGGAGATTCAATATAAATTGCTTTTATTTTAGTTAAAGCTAATAAAAATTCACTTCTATTTGCAAATGTTTTATCTGCTTTTTTCCAATGTCCTTCTAGTAAAGGTACAAACCAAGTTTTTTCTTTTTCTCTCGTACTTTTATCAATATTGGAATGGGTGAATGAAAGCGTTGTTTCATTAACCTGTTAAAAAAAAAAAAAAAAAAACTTCAACAAATAAAATATTTAAAAAATTTAAAAAATTTTCATTATGAGACTCACGGTAAGGATTTCAACGCTAAGAAGAGAATTTTGTTTTGGCATTTCGTGACTGTACTTTAAAGAATATTTAATATGACCTCCATAAGATCCCAATCTGTTTCCACTAAAAATGGATGGTAATAGCCAAAAGTTTCTCTGAAAAAATATAAATATTGATAAATCTTACGTACTTATAAACATGCATACGATTAAATAATTAAAAATAAATTATTTTTTATTTACTCCGTTGGAAGAATTGTATCCACCTAAGGAAAAACTAGAAATTTCCGTTCGATATAAAGTTGAACCGTTGCATTTATCCGTAACGCCACTACACCAACATTTAACACAAGTTTTAAACTTATCAACATTGTAATACCCCGGTTGACAGCTTACCGTGTTGTTACAAAAATCTCCAGTGTAATTTTCCTAAAATTATGATTATTTAAAATTAATAATAAAATAAATAAATAAATAAATAAATCAAAATACAATGAAAAAAATTTTGATTTTTACCTTACAATTACATTTTCCATTAAAGTCTGGAAATAAACTCAACGAACCGTTAATACTGCATGGACTTTTAACACATTGACTTCCAGAGAGAAAAAAACCGTTTTTGCTATCACATCTAAATGAAAATTTTTTTACAGGTATTCAATTCGGCGATTTCAACAAATCATTTTTCTTTTAAATAAAATAACTTACTGTATTTTTCGACAAATAAAATCATCATTTTCAATTTTTCTTTCATATCCTTGTGCACAAGACTGGGGGGAAAAAAAAAAAAAAAAAAAAAAAAAAACAAAAATTAAACATAAATTTTAAAAAATGGGAAAAAAAATATTAAATAAGTAAAATCACCTCGCATGATAATCCCATGTATCCTTCAGGACAAATACATTTTTCAACATAACTAACGGAAGCATTTGATTCTTCAATAAAAGATGATTCTAAATATATGTTTGTATTTTTTGTCCATTTTTCGTAAATTCCTTTACTATATTCGCATCTGTTCATAAAATTTAGTCATTTTTTTAAAATCGGTTTTTCATCGTTTTAATTTATTTAATGAGATGAGTACCGTACCTGAACAAAATACGATTTATACCAGAAAGTACAGACATTAAATCTTTTCGTGTGGCAGTCGTTCTGTTTAAATGATGCCAATTTCCAGGCCAAAATCTAACATCTACGGTATTTGAACTCGGTGAAATTATGTTAAAGGTGTAGAACAAAGAAGTTTTACTACCCTGTAAATTATAATAATGAAATTAATTCAATAATTTACATTTAAATATTTTAAAAATTGTTTAAAAAAGTACCTCGATTATAATATCAGGTGCATCAGGCATGTAATTGATTTTTTTAGAATATCTTGGAATTCTCATACTTCGACCGTATGATTTTAAAAATGAATTTTCATTAAGTTCTTCTTTTGTTAAAACGTAATATTTTATTTTTTGTTCCTATTAAAATAATTTTATGTTATATTATTATCAAACCGAACAAGTAACGTAATTTAACGTATAAATAAATAAAATAATAATAATTTTTTTTATTTTAACACCTTGTCTTTTGTTACATTAGTTCCAACGGTGTTGACAATTTTTCCATTGTTTTCCACTCGAATGTCTGTAACTGCGGATGGAAATGGTATGGTAACGACAGTCGGTTTAGATTTTATATTTTGACAATTGGTGGTTTTTCCAGAGCAAAAGCAATCCAAACAATGTTCTATGTTGTCTTCGCTTTTAATTTTAAAACCGTTGCAAGAAATGTAATTTTTACAAATAACCAAAGATTTTGGCTGAGATTCTGAAACGCCGACAGAGTTTTCAGCAACGCAACTATAAGCACCCTGATCCGCTTGCTAAAAACGTATAAATATTAATTAATAACTTGCAATAAAATTAAAAAAACGTAATACATATAAAAATCATAATATAAAAACCTGAAAATTCGGACACAAAAGCATTCCACGCCCTTCCAGGGATACTTGTTGACATTTTGATGGAACGTGTCCTTCGTATTTTTTCCATTTAATCAAAGGCTCTGGAAAACCGACAAATTCACATTCCAAAAGAAGAGTTTCGAAATTATCCGAATCATCCAATTGACAAAGCAATTCTTTTCTATGCTCCGGTAATAAAGTAATTTTAGGCGGCCAAAACTCTAAATTATAATTAAATTTTTTTTTTTTTTTTAAATTGATTTTTTCTTAATAAAAAAATTTTCTTAGATATTTTTAAAAATTACGTACCACAATCGAATTCATCGGAACCATCTTGACAATCTTTTTTTCTATTACATCTTAACGATTTATTTACTTTTTGACCATCGTTGCATTCGAAAATACTCACGTGATCTACAAAATTATAAATACGGTTAAAAAAAATTCAATATTTTCATTTAAAAAAAAAAAAAAAAAAAATTTGACTTAATCACCTTGACAAAAGTAACCATTTTCCGATTCATTTTTGGCGGCGCACGCGGGAAAATTAATTATTCTAGAAGGAATCGGTGTTGTGAGTTCTAAAGTAAATAAATTAGTTGTATAATTTTTACTGAAAGTCGTTACTACACTTGTTGTGGTTTCCGTTTTATTTTCTACAAATAAAAAGTAACAAATAAGTTAATAATAAACTCATTCAGACATCACAAAATTATTTAACCGCTAATATATTAATAATATCAATGAGTTAATTATGAGTAAACCCTCAAATTGTTAAAAATTAATTGTTTAAAACCCGGTGGTTTTGTTAAATAAAAAATTATTTATACTTACTGTCAACAACAGATACAAAAAATTTTTTTAATACATTTCTTTTTTTATTTTTACTTTTGTACAAACAAATATATATTCCTTTGTGAGTAATATTTACTTTTGGGATAACAAGTAAGTTTTTATATTGGATGGAATTTTCTGGCAACGATTTGTTGTTTTCCCGAAACCAATGAATATTTACATTATTTGTTTTCTCTGTTGCACAATTCAAAGTCAAGACGTCATCTGTGGAAATTACATTTAAAGCAAAATATTTACATGTAAGCCCATTAAAAAAAATTAATTGATCAAAATTAAACATGCATAAAAATTTTGTTAAAAAAAAAAAAAGAGAGGATATCATACATAATAATCTCAATAAACAATTTTCTTTTTAGTAAATGTTAATAATAATTGTTATAAAAAAATTAGTTTTACTACCCCATTATTTTGATAAAATTAAAAAAAATGATTAATTGTTTGTAATTTTTACCTACCTTTGATGTTCATTTAACAAACAATGCACATATATATATATATATATATATATATATATATATATATAATAAATAATAATAATAATTGTTATAAAATTAATTTAAATATACTCAAAAAAATAATAATAATAATCTTTTTTAACTTGTAAAAAGTTTTATGATTTTTGAATATGAAAGAAAATTGAAACTTACCAATTACTGTTTTGTAGCTGAAAAAATCTAAAAATCCCAACGCTAAAATAATATAAATAATTTTTAGAAAACATTAATAATAATTTATTTAATTAATAATATTATAAAATAAATAACTTACTTGTATGAATGAATAAAGGAAACAAAAATATAAACGATAATTTGAGGAGCATTTCGATGAGACTCCTATGAAGAAGTCCTGAAATTATTCAACATATATATTATTATTATTATTAAAATTATTCTTATTAAAATAAATTATTATTATTATTATTGAAAAGCAAAAAAAAAAAATTACTGATATTTACTTAATATTTAAAACTAAAGTTTGAATATAACGTATTTTAATATGGCGTTAGTATATTCAAATGACTCGGATTAATTATAATAAAATTTTATTTTTTTTTTTTAATAAAAAAATGAATTTAATAAAAAAAAATCTGTAGGTAAATTTAAAAAAAAAAAAAAAAAAACAAATTAATTAATTGATTATCATAATTAATGATATTTAAATAAAAATTAAGCACGATTAATATATGGCGTATAGAAATTAAAAAAAAAAACACATTTTTAATGCTTGCTAACACTGAAAGTTACAAAAAAAAAAAAAAAAAAAAAAGTGCAAGTTTTAAATTTAACACTCAGGAAAAAACAAAAAAAAAAAATTCTCTATAAAAAATAATTAAAAAAAAAATCATACCTAATTTTAAAGTATAAAATCAGGTTCACGAGCTTCACCAAAAAACGCTACACGAAAAGTAATAATTTTTAATTCATTAATTCAACGGGGAGGGAAAATAATAATAATAATAATAATACATAAAACTTTATAAAAAAATTATCTACTTTCAGTAATAATTAAGAGTTTAACTGGCAAAAAATATTCTTCTTAAGCAAATTATTATTTTTTTTTTTTTTGTTTGATCCAATGAGAGAGCTGAATAAAAATGCAATCTCAGGGAAATATAAGTTAAAAAAAAAAAAATTTGCTTAGTTTTATTTTATATCACTTATATTCTTATGGTTTTTTTTAAAAAGATTTTTATGCTTTTTCTTTATTTTTATTTACTTAATCGAAAACCATTGTTTCTTCTTCTTAAAATCTAATTTTTTTTTTTCAATCTTTACTTTTTTTATAAAAAATAATTGTACGACTTCACGTTTTACATTATGTTTTATTATCATTAATTTTTTTCATTTATTTCGAACGATTTTAAAAGATTTTTCTTATTTATCTTTAAACTTACTCTTATATTAAATGATTTACCATGATTAAATTCATCACTCAACGATTTTCAACAGGAAAAAAAAAACAAAAAAACGATTAACTTTTCTAAATGCTTCCATTCCATTAAAAAAAATTTTGAAAGAATGAAAAAACTGTCGCCAACTTGCAAAATGAAATTCAGTTTTTTTCCTTAACGGATAACGGATTTTGGCGCCATTTTGTTATTCTAGAAATTCGTTAATGTCTGAAAAGCATCAACATCAGTTTTTTACATATTAATAATTATTTTGTGACGTTATTTAAATTTAAAAAAAAATTTGAAACAATTTATTATTTATAAAGAGAAGAAAATAGAGTTTCTTATACGTATATATTCGAATCTAACGTAAGTTAAACGAATTAAAACGTAAATTATAGATTTTTAATTTGGTTTTGATGTTGTTTTCATTCTAATCCTTTTGTTTTTTTTTAAGGTTTTTCGAAGATTATTTTTTTTTATGCGTTCACGTACGAATTAAACATACATAATCGTATTTACACGTTGTATACTGAAAAAAAAAAGTTATATTATATTACATTTCAATGAAATAAGAACTTTAAAATAAATCCCTTAAACTTGCAAATTTCTCTGAATGGATAAGTAAAACTGGAATGTTATGTTGGTTAAATAAATAATTTTTTTTTTATACTAAAACGGGTAAGATTTAATAATTATAATTTTTAAAAACGATTATCCACATAATTACTTGTAAAGGTAAAAGACTTGATGAGACTTTGAACCTAAGCAAATAAAAAAATTGATGATTGAAAATTTTTATAAATAAAACTGAAAAATTTTATTAATTTTCAATTTCAGAATAAATTTTAATTAAATCGATCAAAGTGTACAAAAAAAAAAAAAAATAAGGAAAGAAGGAAAATATTATTACATAAATTTACCATAGATGAAAGAATAAATTTTGCAAGTATTGCAATATAAATTTCACCTTGTTAATTCATCATTTAATTTTTTAATAAAATTTTTGTTAATATTTAAAATATTGACAGGAGAGTGATGTTATATAAATATTTTATCAATTAAAATTATTAATTATTTTTTTGAATCGAGATAAAAACAATCAAGAATTAAATTTTAAACAAAACAAAAACAACAAAGAGTTTTTTATTTAAAAAAAATTATTTCAAAGAAATAAGAAAGAAAAAAAAATAGTTTAGCTTGCAATTATGTATATATATATTGTAACTCTAAGGAATGAAATAAAATTTTATTCTTAGAAAATGAAATTTTAGATTTTGTTTTTTTTTTTTTATTATTTATAATAATTATATTTTTGTACGGTATAACATTGACATAAAAAGGCCATTAAATAATAATAATACTATTATATATTTTATTTTAAAGCATATTAATTTTTTTAAATAAAAAAAAAAAACTATATTTACTTCAAACTAATACGTACATAATTTTTTTTTTGTATAATTATTTATACCCTGAACAATTCCAAAATTATTATTTTTTTATTAAAATATTTTTCAAGATATTTAAGAAAA